CTGGTGGAGAAGGGATTGTGATAGGTGAGGAGATCATGAAGGTAGAGAGGGATGGTGGTGATAAGGTCACTGGTGGAGAAGGGATAGTGATAGGTGAGGAGATCATCAAGGTAGGAAGGGATGGTGGTGATAAGGTCACTGGTGGAGAGGGATTGTGATAGGTGAGGAGATCATCAAGGTAGGAAGGGATGGTGGTGATAAGGTCACTGGTGGAGAAGGGATAGTGATAGGTGAGATCATCAAGGTGGTAAGGGATGGTGGTGATAGGGTCACTGGTGGAGAAGGGATAGTGATAGGTGAGGAGATCATCAAGGTAGGAAGGGATGGTGGTGATAAGGTCACTGGTGGAGAGGGATTGTGATAGGTGAGGAGATCATCAAGGTAGGAAGGGATGGTGGTGATAAGGTCACTGGTGGAGAAGGGATAGTGATAGGTGAGGAGATCATCAAGGTAGAAAGGGATGGTGGTGATAAGGTCACTGGTGGAGAAGGGATAGTTATAGGTGAGATCATCAAGGTGGTAAGGGATGGTGGTGATAGGGTCACTGGTGGAGAAGGGATAGTGATAGGTGAGGAGATCATCAAGGTGGAAAGGGATGGTGGTGATAAGGTCACTGGTGGAGAAGGGATAGTGATAGGTGAGGAGATCATCAAGGTGGTAAGGGATGGTGGTGATAGGGTCACTGGTGGAGAAGGGATAGTGATAGGTGAGATCATCAAGGTGGAAAGGGATGGTGGTGATAAGGTCACTGGTGGAGAAGGGATAGTGATAGGTGAGGAGATCATCAAGGTAGGAAGGGATGGTGGTGATAAGGTCACTGGTGGAGAAGGGATTGTGATAGGTAAGGAGATCATCGAGGTGGAAAGGGATGGTGGTGGTAATAAAGGAGGTAAATCGGTAAATTTAATCTGGGACTTGGAGCTCTGGAGGTGCCAGCTGTCCCAAATCCCATAGACTATGACCAACAGATCGGAGCTCTTGGGTGGAAATTGTCTTCTGTACACCAAATGGTTACACACATTATACAAAGATCATCAATCTATTTTCCAGAGTTGACGAGTCTTTCCCGTCTGGCTCAACTATGGGACCTTCTCCCGAGTAGAAGTTGGTTGTAGTTCCGTGGTGACAAAGCTAAAATGTGGATTTCCTGTCACGAGGGTCTCATCGTTATATTCCGAGCCCCGAGGTCACCTTGGCCCCCGGAGATAACCATCCACCACACAAACATCTATTCTCAATGCTGGAACCATTCAACCTCCGGAACATTGGTCAGTCTCCTGGCACCCGCACGTAGACGTGTTGTGTGCCGCCGTGTCTGACTTCATGTCCCCAGTCTTCTGGCACCCGCACGTAGACGTGTTGTGTGCCGCCGTGTCTGACTTCATGTCCCCAGTCTTCTGGCACCCGCACGTAGACGTGTTGTGTGCCGCCGTGTCTCACTTTATGTCCCCAGTCTTCTGGCACCCGCACGTAGACGTGTTGTGTGCCGCCGTGTCTGACTTTATGGCCATGGAAGTATAGAAAGGATATGGAAGGTGTAGATCTCCCTAACCACGTCTTATCTGAACCAATGAAACAAAAGACACGACGTCTGTAACAAGGAAGAACCTTTATTGACACTATCAAAATACGGTCCATGTTTCTGGTCCGATCGAACTCGGCCAAAAGACTCGCACTCGTCCTCCACAGGGGGTCTTAGCATCAGAAGTCTGGAAAATGGACACACTGACTCTCTCATCTGGGGTTCTTCACCTGAACTGCACTTTTCTCCGTGATGGTCCTAGGATCAACCACAGTCCCTAATCATCAATCTGAAGCCTTTATTTCTTATCTTTAAGACAAAGCACACTTCTCCTTTTTGCCGACCTAACCAAACCCACCGGCTGCAGGTGCCGACTTACCGCGAAACGATGGCGGCAACCTCTGGTGTTTGTTACCTGTAGAACGGCAAGTCTCACTTCCCTGACCATCCGGCACATTGCAGCCCCACAGACTTCTATGGAGGTGTGTCCCGATGCTGGAGGTGTTTCCTGATGCTGGAGGTGTGTCCCGATGCTGGAGGTGATCGCATAGAAGGACTGCATCCCGAGACGGGAGATGATCGGAGACCGTCCCATAGAGGTCTATAAGGCTGTGTCCAGAGCTCATCAAAGACGGTCTTATAGAAGTCTATGGGGCTGTGTCCTGAGATGGCCCAGTAGAAGTCTATGGGGCTGTGTCCCTGAGGCTGGAGATGACCCAGTAGAAGTCTATGGGGCTGTGTCCTGAGATGGCTCAGTAGAAGTCTATGGGGCTGTGCCCTGAGATGGCCCAGTAGAAGTCTATGGGGCCGTGTCCTGAGGCCGGAAATGGTCCCATAGAAGTGTATAGGGCTGTGTCTCAAGGTGGGACATGATCGGAGACTGTCCTATTGAAGTCCATGGGGCTATGTCCAGAGATAATCAAAGATGGTCTTATAGAAGTCTATAGAGCTATGCCCCAAGGTGGGAGATGGTTGGAGACGGTTCCATAGAAGTCTATAGGGCTGTGACCTGGGACTGGAGATAGCCCGGTAGAAGTCTATGGGGCTGTTTCCTGAGATGGACCAGTAGAAGTCTATGGGTCTGTCCTGAGGCCGGAGATGGCCCAGTAGAAGTCTATGGGACTGTGTTCTGAGGCCGGAGATGGGCCAGTAGAAGTCTATGGGGCTATGTCCTGAGGCTCGGGATGGCCCAGTAGAAGTCTATGGGGCTATGTCCTGAGGCTCGGGATGGCCCAGTAGAAGTCTATGGGGCTATGTCCTGAGGCTCGGGATGGGCCAGTAGAAGTCTATGGGGCTATGTCCTGAGGCCGGAGATAGCCCAGTAGAAGTCTATGGGGCTGTGTCCTGAGGCCGGGGATGGCTCAGTAGAAGTCTATGGGGCTCTGTTCTGAGGCCGGAGATGGACCAGTAGAAGTCTATGGGGCTATGTTCTGAGGCCGGAGATGGCCCAGTAGAAGTCTATGGGGCTGTGTCCTGAGGCCGGAGATGGACCAGTAGAAGTCTATGGGGCTGTCCTGAGGCCGGAGATGGACCAGTAGAAGTCTATGGGGCTATGTTCTGAGGCCGGAGATGGACCAGTAGAAGTCTATGGGGCTGTGTCCTGAGGCCGGAGATGGACCAGTAGAAGTCTATGGGTCTGTCCTGAGGCTGGAGATGGACCAGTAGAAGTCTATGGGACTATGTCCTGAGGCCAGAGATGGACAAGTAGAAGTCTATGGGGCTGTGTCCTGAGGCTGGAGATGGTCCAGTAGAAGTCTATGGGGCTGTGTTCTGAGGCCGGAGATGGTCCAGTAGAAGTCTATGGGGCTGTGTTCTGAGGCCGGAGATGGACCAGTAGAAGTCTATGGGGCTGTGTTCTGAGGCTGGAGATGGACCAGTAGAAGTCTATGGGGCTGTGTCCTGAGGCCAGAGATGGCCCGGTAGAAGTCTATGGGACTATGTCCTGAGGCCGGAGATGGACCAATAGAAGTCTATGGGGCTGTCCTTAAGCCGGAGATGGCCCGGTAGAAGTCTATGGGGCTGTCCTGAGGCTGGAGATGGACCAGTAGAAGTCTATGGGGCTATGTTCTGAGGCCGGAGATGGACCAGCAGAAGTCTATGGGGCTGTCCTGAGGCCGGAGATGGCCCAGTAGAAGTCTATGGGGCTGTCCTGAGGCCGGAGATGGCCCAGTAGAAGTCTATGGGGCTATGTTCTGAGGCCGGAGATGGACCAGTAGAAGTTTATGGGGCTATGTTCTGAGGCCAGAGATGGACCAGTAGAACTCTATGGGTCTGTCCTGAGGCCAGAGATGGCCCGGTAGAAGTCTATGGGACTATGTCCTGAGGCCGGAGATTGACCAGTAGAAGTCTATGGGGCTGTCCTTAAGCCGGAGATGGCCCGGTAGAAGTCTATGGGGCTGTCCTGAGGCTGGAGATGGACCAGTAGAAGTCTATGGGGCTATGTTCTGAGGCCGGAGATGGACCAGCAGAAGTCTATGGGGCTGTCCTGAGGCCGGAGATGGCCCAGTAGAAGTCTATGGGGCTGTCCTGAGGCCGGAGATGGCCCAGTAGAAGTCTATGGGGCTATGTTCTGAGGCCGGAGATGGACCAGTAGAAGTTTATGGGGCTATGTTCTGAGGCCGGAGATGGACCAGTAGAAGTCTATGGGGCTGTCCTGAGGCTGGAGATGGCTCAGTGATAGGTGAGGAGATCATCAAGGTAGGAAGGGATGGGGCCAGTAGAAGTCTATGGGGCTGTCCTTAGGCCAGAGATGGACCAGTAGAAGTCTATGGGGCTATGTCCTGAGGCCGGAGATGGTCCAGTAGAAGTCTATGGGGCTATGTTCTGAGGCAGGAGATGGTCCAGTAGAAGTCTATGGGGCTGTCCTTAGGCCAGAGATGGACCAGTAGAAGTCTATGGGGCTATGTCCTGAGGCCGGAGATAATCAAAGATGGCCCCATACAAGTCTATAGGGCTATAATGAGGATGTAAACAAACAGCAGAAGCTGCAGCCGTTGGATCGAGGTAAGTACACACTTTTGAAGGAGGTGGGTGGGTTCGGTCAGGCCGAAGGGGCAAAAAAGATAAATGCGCTTGATGTCCAAATTCCGGTGAGTGAGTTGTAC